AAATAAGACCACCAGAACAAAAAGGTCCTAAAAGATCTTTCAGAGTTAGGACAGGAGCCAAGCAAAACAACGAAGAGTAAAAACAAAGATGAACACACAAGTAAATGACTACATTCATGCACTTATAAAATATTAAATATATTTGTGCAGGATATCTAAAAAGAAAACAACTGAAGTATTTTTGACAAAAGATTTCCTTCCTCTAATTATTCCACTGAAGCTCTGTTATTTCATTTTTATTTTTAAAACTTATTTTATACTGGAGTATAGTTGATCAACAATGTTGTCAGTTTCAGATGTACAGCAAAATAATTCAGTTATACATATATATGCCCCAATTTTTTTTCATGGAGAAGGAAATGGGAACCCACTCTAGTATTCTTGCCAGGAAAATCCCATAGACAGAGGAGCCTGGCAGGCTACAGTCCAGGGGTCCTCAAAGAGTCAGACACAACTGAGTGACTAATACACACACATTCTTTTCCCATTTCGGTTATTACATAATATTTAGCAGAGTTCCCTGTACTGTCCAGTAGGTCCTTGCTAGTTATCTATTTTAAACATAGCAGTGAGCACATGTCAAAGCTCTGTTTTTTAAAGAAGGGTGATGGGAAGGATGAGAATGTTTTGATCCACCCTGCCTATCTTACAGAAGGGGGAACTGAGGCCCAGGGCAGGCACACTATTGCCACACACAGCAAGAGGCATTTGATCCTGAATCTTCTGCCTCCAGGGCTGGGCTCCTTTCTTGTGAGATCTGGCTCTGCCTTGTGTCCCTTGAAGGGCTGCTTCTGGCCTAGAGAAATAGTCCTTGGGGTTGAAGAAGAAATCAGAGCACAGGCTATGTCCACAGGTATACAGCCAAGGGGGAAGGAGTCCCTCTTTATTCTCACCTCCTTCGACAGGCCACATTTTCAAACTGATGGAAAATTGTCCTTTTCCCTTCATTTTATATATATATATATAAACTTTGGGATTTTCTTTCTGCACCTCATATGCAATCACTTCAAAGCTGATGACACACATCACACAGATCAGGACAGACAGGGCTTGGGGGTGGTCCCAGAGTTAGTGTCAGAGTCAGGACTTGCTGGAATCTTTCTTGCTCACTAACAAGCCTTTGAGACTTATTTTTTCTTTTTTTCTAAGTAAGATGCTGGCTTTCTGACATTACTCCCTCCTCCTCTATCCCTGTTCTAAAATAATCTCTTTCTTTCTTTCTTTTCACTTGCTATGTCCTTAGAATCCTCCTAACCCCCCTCACTTTATTTTCTTGGGCTCCAAAATCACTGCAGATGGTGACTGTAGCCATGAAATTAAAAGACACTTATTCCTTGGAAGAAAAGCTATGACAAACCTAGATAGCACATTAAAAAGCAGAGACATTACTTTGCCAACAAAGGTCCGTCTAGTCAAAGCTATGGTTTTTCCAGTGGTCATGTATGGATGTGAGAGTTGGACCATAAAGAAGGCTGAGCGCCAAAGAATTGATGCTTTTGAACTGTGGTGCTGGAGAAGACTTGAGAGGCCTTTGGACTGCAAGGAGATCAAACCAGTCCATCCTAAAGGAAATCAGTCCTGGGTGTTCATTGGAAGGACTGATGCTGAAGCTCCAATACTTTGGCTACCTGATGCGAAGAGCCGACTCATTAGAAAAGACCCTGATGCTGGGAAAGATTGAGGGCAGGAGGAGAAGGGGATGACAAAGGACGTGGTGGTTGGATGGCGTTACCGACTCAATGGACCTGAGTTTGAGCAAGCTCCGGGAGGAGAGTCGGACACGATGGAGTGACTGAACAAGAACAACAAACCCCCATCACTGCATCACTTTCTTCTTTTCAGAGCACTTTACCGCTGAATGCCTCAGCCTGATGTCACAGAACTCTGTGAAGGAAATGAAGAGATGGGGCCAGGTTTGGAGGGATTCCTCCCCCATGGAGACCTTGCTCTGAGATCTTAAGGGAGAGTAGTCACCAAGCATGCCAAGGTCAGAACTTTAGGTTTGTGACTGCAAAATCAGCATTTCCTCCCCTTCTCCAGCAGGGGCGTGGAGGTGTGTTTCCAGGGGTGGGGCTGAGCCTCAGAGGTCACTGCACCCAGGGCAAGCTTTCTTGCACAATCCATCCTGGGGCGGAGCTCTGGGGAACACGAGAGACAGGCTGAGGTGGCAGCCACGTGGCCTCTCCGGTGTCAGCCACCCTCTATGTCTCCCGAACGCTGTGGTTCGCCTGCGTGCTGAATCCAGCCTCCTTAGGACTGCGGGGGTTTCTGGGCTGACAGATCTTTATTTTTGAGAGACGTCCTGAATGTGTAACTCCACTGAGCAAAGCTCTTTCCTTGTGGGCTGCCTCTCTTCCTGGCCTGGTGCTGCCACGCTCCTCTTTCGCAGAATGAGAAAGTTGTCTTTGCTGCCTGCTGGCGTCCCTTTTGGCCCCATGAGCCTGCTCTGGGTCCTTACAGTGACCCGGTTTCCTCAAACTCCTAGTACCTTGCATCTGGCTTAAGCATCCTCCAGGCAGCCATGTCCTGTGCCTCATAGCTCCGTGATGCTGCAGATAGACATGAAATTCACAAGGCTGAAACTGAGCCTGCAGGCTCTGGTGTAGCCAGACTGCCAAAAATTGAGCTCGTGTAATTGCCAGCTCTCTGTGTAACCCAGGCACCACAGTACCAATGGTCAGTTGCCCTGCCTCTTCTCAACATGGTGCCTCCAACTTCCCTCTTGGTTCGCCCTGCCAAAAGTTTGCATGGGGGGAGAAAAAAGTTTGTGTTTGGTTGTCTGCTCAAGAAATCAACTCTAACATTTTGTATCTCAGCTCTCCTACATGTCTGTCTCTCATAACTGTCATCTCTTTATCCTTTTTTTCTTTTGCATCCCAGGAGAGCTGGCCAAGTTCTTTCTCTACTTTGCTGATTTTTTTTTCTGGGTCATCAAGTCTATTTTTCATTACCTTCTTCCAAAGTGGTTTTTAATTCACCTATTATGTTTTTAGTTACTTTATAATTCTTCTGCTTTTCACCCATCTCCCTTTTCCTATTACCTCATTATTTCATCTTAAAATGAAGTCTATGTTCTTTCCCTAAGGCTTTCTGCTCCTCTTTTAGGCAGATCATGTTTTCTCTTCTACTGAACTTGCTGAGAAGGGGAACACATGTTCCTCTCAGATCTACAGTCGGGGTAGACCAGTGTGAGGGCTCCCAGCTCAGTCCCTGACTCCTGGCATATCTGTGCTGTGCTGGGTTGGGATTCTGTCACTCCTGTCTGGCCCTGGGGCACTCGAAGCTACTGTTGGGGTGCAGGGAACCCCAGCACACTCTGGTTGTTCTGGCTTTTCCCCTCTGGCCCCAGGTCCAGCTGTCAGTGAAATGACCATGTCCCAGAATGCATTTTTCCACTTGCTCCCTACTTTCTGTTTTCTATCATTTGCTTGCCTGGTTGTGGACAGATGATGACCAAGAAAGAGAGGGCAGTGCTGTGAGGAGAGGTTACAAAACTCTCCTTCAAAGAATAGCTTTTAAGATACGGAGAAGGGTAGCTGGCCCATTTGTGATGGGTCCAATCCTGGGTCACTGAGACAGGACTCAGGAGAGGAAGGATGTGAAGAGTCTTCCCACCTCTTCCCAATGGGCCCTTCTCTGCTTGATGCAGGGCATTCTAGGTAGGTTAGGAGATATTACTAGGAATTCTCCTAGACATGCTTGGTAAGAAGTTTTAAAGGCTGACTGGTGAGCCACTCACGATTTTGAGCTAGATGCCTCATATTCAACTTTCAGTGCACACTTACTGCTTAATCCCCCACCTCCCTTCATTGATTTCTTCATCTTGCAACAGCTGAGTTTTCATTTGGCACTAATCCTCTTAGTCCAGGTCTCCTGCATAGGCCTCTGGAGACAGAGCCCCTGACCTCAACCTCAGCTAATTGGTACTTCACATTCCACAGTCTCAGAAACTGGCTTAGGGGTGGGCATTGATGAGAGGGTGGCACAATCAAAATTAGGTTCAGGACTTTTGTGGAAACTCCTGCTCAGGTTTCCTTTCTTGAGCCTGAAGCCTTGTGAGCCAAGTCCTGGATGGCATCCTGCAGCCTGAGAATGAAACCAAGGACTGGAGAGGGGCTGTAATCCTGAGAGCAGTGAGGAGCTCCTGATCCAGCCTTGCCTGAAGCTGGTCCTGCTTTTGGTTCTTTATCAGTGATGAACCAATGAATTCTTTTATGTTTTAAACCATTTGAATCAGGTTATCTGTCACTTGAGGCTGAATGAGTCATCATTTACACAAGTGTGACCACAGGATTAGGAAAGAAAAGACCAAATATAAGGGGGCATGTGTGACTGCTCACTTAGTCGTGTCCAACTCTCTGTGACTCTAAGGACAGAGGCCGCCAGGCTCCTCTCTCCATGGGATTCTCCAGGCAAGAATGCTGGAGTGGGTTGCCATTTCCTTCTCCAGGGCATCTTCCTGACCCAGGGATCAAACCTGCATCTCCTGTGTCTTCTGCATTGGCAGGTGGATTCTTTACTACTGTGCTACCTGGATATGTTTCCAAATGTTTACAGTATTATCTTTGGGTGGCAAGATCATGAGTTATTCTTATTCATCTCTTCATATATTTTATTTTCCTACCTTTTTTTTAGCAAACATGTTTTGTGAATAAAGAACAAACAAGGAAAACCTCTAGGAAGTACTATATTAAATACTTCTTTAGTTTGGAAAGGCAAGAGGCCAAAGGGGCCAGTTCTCAGGGCCTGCAGAAGCCATGGGTCACCGTCAGGCACTCCTGGAGGGCTGGGTCGTGGAGGCAGACCTCCTACCCAGCCCCGTAGCAGACATTTGAGGAGTTCCCCTTAAAGTTAGATGAGGAAATCCTTCTTCACACAATGAGAAGTAAACTTAAGACAGCTGTTCTCTCCAGAGAGGGCTCAAGTTGAAAATAGAAATGACTTCAAGTGGCTTTGACCCATTCTTGAATGGCAGTTCTGTCGCAGACTTGGAGGGAGGTATGGTACGTGTGGGGCTGCCTCTGGCCTTGGGGTGGGAGTCAGGGAAGCCCCTAGGAGGCCAGGCCAGGACCATCTGCGAGGCTGGGCGGCCACACTGCACCTACCTGGTCTTCCATGTTAGGGTTTGGGCAAGGTGGGTGGCAGCACACTGCCCGCAGCCCAGCTGAGCGCCCAGCGCTCAAGAAAGCAAGTGTTTTTGCACTTGCTGCATCCTGAGTGGCACGGAGGACAAACGCGCTGTGGAACATGGAAACCCCAAAACTTGAGTCACTGCTGACTGTTGCCTCAGGCGCAGATCTCCAAAGGCAGGCGCTCAGTCCTGCTTATGTCTGTGCATCCAGGAAGCAGAGTGATGGCAGTAAAAAAGTTCAGATGGAGTCAGGCTGAGCCAGGGAATTCCTGTGTGTGTGAGAGAGAGGGAGTTTTGGAAATCATGCAGTATTATAGTCTTTCCTTAAGTGATACCTGGCACTGAGTTTTCTCAATGTGGGTTCCCTTGTCATCTAGTTCTTGTAATGGGCATCAAGGAAGCATGTTTGCAGCAATATTCCTTTGGGAGCTAATTTATGAACATTCTAGTCCTGTGTTGGAGAATCGCAATGTACACTAGTGTATTAATGGCTCTGAGAGGTCTTTCAGTGAAAGAGCCTGGTTGATTGAAGGATTCCAGGACTCATTTTGTGGGGGGGATCACCCACAGGCTGGAGTGAGTGAGGTGTAAGGCCAACTGTGCAGAAGGTGACTACTCCCTGAAATGTGGACAGGGGCCATCTAGAGCATGGTGAAGTTTGGGGCATGGATGTGTGGACCAGCCAGGTAGATGGGGGTGATTCAGCCCCAGAGCATTAAAATCATAGGATAGACAGTAAAGATCTTGGATTTCATCTGATTTAGACACCTCACGTTATAGAGACAGCCACTGAGGTCCATAGAAGGGAGCTGATTACTCCTTGTCACCAGAGTTCTCTGGGGTACACCACTGATGCTGATGCTGGATAAGCCGGGAGGAGGAGATTTGATGAGTGTATTATCAGGGAGCCTGCCCACCCACTGGAAACTTGGAGAACCATGTTCACAAAGTAGGCAGGAGCCCAAGGCAAGTGGGTGGCTGAGCCCGTGGCCAGATATGACCCGAAGCTGGATTAGGCAGCTTCAGCTGGAGCCAGGACGCGTTAGAAACTGACCCACAGCTCTTCGTGTCACCCTCGGTGGGAGCAGCCAGTTGACTCAGCACAGGCGGTGTGCCCCTCCTCGGCCGTTAAGGTCTGGGAGAACACGTGTCTGGCTGGCTTGGCTTCTGAAGCTGAAGCCTGGAGCCTGCCTTTCCCCATGACTGGCAGAGGAAAGCAGCCCAGTTATTTGGCTCAGGGCAGAGCGAGTTTACACACCCCATCTCCTAGTTTCCACTTCACATGATTCAGTCATGTGTCCTGTAAATATTTCAAATCCTGATTTAATGAACAACATGGGCCTTGATGAACTTCTGCCTACCACGGTAGGATAAAATTTTGAAATCATTTAAACATTTACCTGGACTGTTCTCCCTCAGTTGTCTCCTACCCTTTCCTCGGTCTTTACTTCCAACCTCATGATACAGTCATCACAGCAGAAATAGAAGAACAAGCAGTCAACACTGATTTTGAATTTCATGGCAGAGAAAATAGTTTGGGGGGTCTCAAAGTCTTTCCTTTGGAGTGTCTAAACCCTAAGTGTACAGGACTCAGGAGGACAAGGGTGTGGTAAGTTAACTATTTTTTTCCCACTTACCCAGAAGGGGGTTTCAGAAAGACTTAGATGCTGACATGGAATTCTGGCTGGGAACGGTCTTGCTGTACACTTCATGTCCCCAGACCCTGGAGTTGAGGGGGAAATAGGATACTCAGTATTTTGGGGGCTCTGAGAACAGAGGGGGCAGGTGCCCCACTCCCTGAGACAAGTTGGGGGACTGGAAGCTTCATAGAAAAGCATCAGCATTCAGCAAGGGACCAGCCAAACAGAAGGGGTGGCCTGAGGGCCCAGGCCATGTCACAAGCTTGTGTCTCATTAGGATGGGGCCGCAGGAGAGCTTTGCTGATGACCCTGAGGGCCAGGAAACCCAGAGGGCCTCATGCCTGGAGAAGTGGAGATGTGACATCAGGAGCAGGCATGGACCAACAGCACCAGAGTGGCAGAAATGAGGACTCCTCACCAGCCCATGTAGGTGTCCACGAGGGACCAATGCGCTGCTCAGCAGAGGCTGATGTGGACAGGTGACCAGAGAGAACCAGACGTGCTCCCCGGGTGCTCTGATGCCTGTTTCCTGACCCCAGTCGGGTGACACCATCTAGAAAAAGAAAGGGGGGGCCCCTGAGGCAACTAAAATGGAGATTCTGCCAAAAGTAGAATGCGGGGGCGGGGGTCAATGGGGAAATAAGCTTTTATTTCCCATTTGAATTTGTGGTCTATGAAATTAATTCTAATACAGTTAAAACTAATCCACAATATTTAACAACTAAATGTTTGAAGCGTCTCTTTTTTGAATTATTACCAAACACTATGTGATGCTGGTTTTCCCTTACCCATGATCTGGATTAAAATGAAAACGATGGACGACACACTGGCACTTATTTTTTATATAAAATAGGGCTGACCCTGCTGGCTAGTCCCACCGCAGCCCGCCAGCGGCTGAGTGTCCAGGAGTGACCGGGCCCCTCATTTAGCCCAGCCTCTGGGGCTGAACACTCCATGAGTCACTCTTCTTCCTGGTGGGGTAAACACTGGTGACATAATGCTGATGAGAGTACACTCATCCTTTGGCATTTGTTGGGGGTTGGCTCCAGGATCCCTGTGGGTACCAAAATTCTCAGATGCTCAAGATCCTCATAGTTTGCCCTCTGTATACACAGTTTTGCATCCCAGGATAGGGAGAAACTAAGCATTTATTGAAAAATATTTGGGTCTAAGTGGAGAAGTGCAGTTGAAATCCATGTTGTTCAAGGGTCAGCTCTACTGTGAAAACCCCAAATCTCTGCCTGTGACTAGGCCTCCCCTTGGGGCTCGGTTTCCTCATCTGTAAAAGTTGCTTTGCTGCTCACAGCAGTCCACTCTCAGGCTTCCTGTGACTGCCACGGGCGGGTGTCTTTCCATGAGCCTCTTGTTTCATCTTCGCAACAGCCCTGCCAGTTTATAGATGCTGAAAGTAGATGTATAGAGAAGGGACTTGCCAAAGGCCAGACACTTAATTCATCGGATCTAGGACTTCACTGATGGTAAGACACACCATGACTTTATAGGAAGAAAGAAAAAGAGCTGACAATTATAACTGCAAGGGGTCACAGATCCTAAGACCATTCTAATGTCAGGGATGTTAAAATGTGTGAAAAGTAAGCCTTAGAACTGACAGACTGCTGAGATGAGCAGACAAGGGTGCAATCCTGAGTCTGAGGGATGCAAAGCTCAAGGTCTTTACATTCGGACCAGCTGCCAAAGGCTGATGTGAGTGAGACTTGAAAGAACCACAGGAAGCAAGAGGACTTCTAAGCTTTTAACGTGCGGTGCAGATGCAGGAATCGTCACCAGGAGGGACGTGCCAACAGCTGGAGTGGAATAAATCCCTGGCTCTTACGGAAGTCACCTCATTTAGACAGATTTTCAGTGAATTGGAATTGGGGTGGGATTTGGGTGGGATTTGGGTGGAATTTTGTTACAACGCCAAAAGCTGATTCTAGCCTAGGCGTCTGATACAGTGTTATGAGTCAACACATCCAAGAACGGCTTGGCTTACCCCAGACCCAATTCCCTACAGGGGCTAGACTCACAGATCTGTTGGAAAAATAAGAAGACTTTTGGTTGATGCAACAGACCAGAATGAAGTTCAGAAGATCAAGAGTGCCTGGACTCCCCCAGGCTCTGCCCTGCCCTGAGTCTGTGGCTGCAGGAGGCACTGGGGTCTGCATCTCACCAGCCCCTCTCCTTGGGTAGGGCAAGTCCCACCTCCCTGGAGCCCACTCTATTAAACATTTTTAATTTATTTATTTTTGGCTACCCTGGGTCTTCTTCTTGTGTACCGGCTTTCTCTAGTTGCAGTGAGCTGGGGCTGCTCTCTAGTTGTCCTACAAGGGAAGTGGCTTCTCCTCTTGCAGAGCACAGATTCCAGGGTGTGCAGGCTTCAGTAGTTGCAGCTCTTGGGTGCAGTAGTTGTGGTACACAGGCTTAGTTGCTCTGAGGCATGTGGAATCTTCCTGGACCAAGGAATAAATTTGTGTCCCCTGCATCGGCAGGCAGATTCTTAACCACTGGACCACCAGGGAAGTCCTGGAGCCCACTCTTGACTTGGGATGTGTTTGGGTCAAATGGAAGGTCAAGCATTCATGGACCCTGGAAACTGCCTTTGCCATGAACCACCCCCACCCCCCCCCACCACCAAATTAGATCTTTCCCCTAGACAGAGCCTGAGTTCCCAAGCTTGGGACACTGGGATCTAGACCTTGAATTGCTTCTCAGGGCGTACCAAGTCTGCATTTGGGCCTGTCCTTTCCTGGCTCCCTTGCCTCCTCTGCCATTTTCCTAGGTAACCATTTGACACAAGTTACTGTTAACATACTTGGGCATGACCTGTGCCAGCTCTTTAGGGAGCTAATTTTATCCGTTCTACTCAACACTCTCTAAAGTAGAAATTATCTTCCCATTTTAGTTTTTTTTTGGCCAGACCATGAACGATGTGGGATCTTAGTTCCTTGACCGGGGATTGAACCCTTGGCCCCTGCATCCCTGCATTGGAAGCCCAGAATTTTAAGCACTGGACCAGCAGGAAACTCTCTCATACCCATTTTAAAGAGAGCAAACTTGAGACGCAGCAAAGCCAAGAAATAAGACATCCAAGGCCACACAGCCCCTTAGTAAGAGAGGTCCTAGCCAAGTCTCTACAGTATCGAGAACAATGCCTAAATCAGCGGAAGCGCTCAGGTACTTGTTAGATGACAGAGTGAAAACTCCCTGCTGATGATGATGCTAAAAATTTTGCTGTGAACTAATTGTTATTTAATTTTACTCATCTGAGCACCTGCTTTTGTGCCCAGCATGGACCTACAGATGAAGTGGGTTCTGGGCAACTGAGGTTGTAACATAAACACACACACACACCCCATCCTCCCTTAATGACCCGCCTGCAATTGATCTACTGCTAAGTAGCATTTCGTGTACTGGGGAGCTTCTATTTCCACACTAGCAGCAAATTTGACCTTTGTGTCAGCTGCCAGCTGCTTATAATTCTGACAGATGCAAGCACATTTCTGGGAAGCTGTAGCCTCTCAGGACCTCACAGATCAACAGGCAACGCTGGCGGCTTTGGTAAGATTGATCGGCCCGCGAGAATCCCATTTACAGCCCGAACAGAGCCTCGGTTTACCGTGGCCTGGGCTCTGATGACTTCGACAGCTCCCTTCTAAATCTGTCAGCCGGGGCTGGTGGCGATATTAAAGAACACTCTATTTATACGAAGCAGCAATTAGAGGAATGCTCGCCAGTGGGGCACCGCTTCCAAGTAAATCCCCGGCCTTCCAAATGGTGTCATGCTTATGGTTATTTTAATCCGCTTGGAATTTCAGGGATATTAATGTGACGGGCCATCGCGGAGGATTAGCCAGGTTTATTTCTGCTGACATTTCAGAGAGCACACTCAGGTTCCCAAGACGGCCGCTCCTCCCTCCAGGCACATCCACAACGCTGGGGCGGAGGAGGGGCGGTGCCGGGGGAGGGAGAGGCAACTGCAGAGACGAGGAAGCTCCCCAATCCTGCTGCCCATCGTTTTCTTCCTTCCCCTGCCTCCCTCCTTTTCCTGGGGCACCCCCCATTTTCTGCCCACCTCCCTTTGGCCCCCCCACTCTCATGTCCTTCTGTGCTGTTTTTTATTCTCTCTAGGAAATCAAGCTGTATCTGACGTGGTCTTTCAGACATGAGTGTCAGCGTCCCATTTGACAGTTAATGGGGGCACTGGTTATAATAACTTGACCTAGGAATGGGGTTGCCAGATATTGGGTTGGCCAATTAGTTAGTGGGATTTTTTCATAAGATGTAATGGGAGAAAAAAAAAACCCACCGTTTTGGTCAACCCAACAAATTGTGGCATGCTCACTTAAATATAGAGTTCAGATAAGCCCCTAAGACCATTTTTCAGTATATGTTCCACACAATATTTTGAGACATGCTTATAACCCCCCAAAATTAATTATTTATCTGAAATTATTTCACAGAGTGCCCTGAATTTTTATTTAAATCTGGCAAGTCTGTATGGAGACGGTGGGTATCAGGTAGAGAAACCACTGCTGGACCAAAAAGTGTCACACCTTAATGCAGGGGCTGGACTTGTCCTTGGTCTCAGTCACCTTGTTAGAAATATTTCCATACCAGCTAGGAAAGTTCCTCATCTCCCTGAAGTCCTCCCAGGACCCTCCCAGATGTTCCCCACAGGGCGTCTGTTAGAGGCCCCAGGGCCCTCGGAATCCCCTTACACAGCCTCTTAACTCTGATTTTTTTCCTGCTACACTGTAGGTCTCCTGAGGGCACAGACCAGGCCTTCTTTCACTTTAGATCCCCAGGCCCTGACAGGTGCAACATTTGGAGACAGTCAATAAATATTTATTGAATGAATGGATGGATGAGTAAAAGCAGGTTTTACTCCAGTAACAATGACGTCACCTATCAAAGCATCTTGGGAACCCTTTTTAATGATGAACTAACTTAGAAGAGCAGGCTGCTGGTGCTGCTTTTGAACTCTTCAGTTGCAAGATTGTAGGGAACGCCTGGGAGGGTCCTGGGAGGCCCTCAGGGAGATGAGTTGGTATGGAAATATTTCAATGTTTTAGCCATAAGCCTGGCTGCACTGCCAGGGAATGAAGGAAATGAATGGCAACCCACTCTAGTATTCATGCCTGGAGAATTCCACGGGCAGAGGAGCTTGGCTGGCTACAGTCCATGGGGTTGCAGAGAGACAGACACGACTGAGAGGCTAACCCTTTCAGACACTTTCATAGGCTGCATTATTGTATACAGCAGCTGAATATTAGTGCTTACTTGTTCTGGAAACAGAAATATTCTCACATACACTCCCCCAGCCCTGACAGGTAAGCAAACAGACACAGAGAGGTTAAGAAGATTTTCACTGGACTCACAGCTCGAGCTGCAGTGCTAGGTTTGAATA